CCCAACCGCGGGTCAATAACCGGTCACTGCCGAATCGGCAAGGCACACTTACACGAACTTTCATGGCGCTGGTTGATAATGTTCGGTCTTACGCAAGTTAGATGTATAATGTAAAGATATCCAGTGGCGCTGTGGCCTTCTGTGACGGTAATGAGAAGGGGGCAGCGCCGAGGGGTAGTCGGTGCCTGGGTGATATGCTTTCGATGGATCAGGCGGCTTTAGGGGCTGCAAAGGGTGAGGCTCGAAGTCCAGCATTTGAAATTAGGTTTATTGCCTGCTAGCTGGGAGGATCGAGTAGTTTAATATTCTACCCCTCTTTCCATTTTCTTCCTCTAGTTCCTTGTGTGCTGGTTTTGGTGTGGTCGTTTCAGTGGTTGTTGCCCTACAGACCTCACCCAGAAATGGAATTTCATTTGGGGAGAAATGGGTTTGTTGAGGTGGATGGGAATAATTTGTACTGACCAATGAATAATCAATATCAGGACATTCCAATATGATTGTCCACCAGCCATTGAACTATTTGTGATGTTTGTATTCGTTTTTTAGGGGCTGAATATTGCAAGAAATATAGTTCAAGGTCATATTGTGGGGAAATAAACTTCACTTCACATCTATCTTATTAAGATGAAGGAGAAAATTAGTAAAAGTGCATTAGGAGGATAATCATTGTTTGTTTATCGTATAGATTTAATAAGAAAAAAATACTTATACCCATTATACAGTAAATATCAAATCTGGAAAAGAATGTTATGACATGAACTTCATTAAGAAAATTGCTGTTTGTTGGACACCATAATGAAACGTTTTCGTTGACCATGCGCAGTGCTTGGTAACATTACATACGCAATTTACTCCCACTTTTAATATATTTATGATAGTGATTCTTGTCAAAAGAACTATTTCAGTTACGAAAAATAAATGGAGAGAAGCTTGTTTTTATATATTTTTTTAATGAGTAATAAGAGAGAGAGAGAGAGAGAGAGAGAGATAGGGAGAGAATGTGGGTGTGTGAGTGTGCGTGCGCGTGTGTGTGTGTGTGTGATAGAGAGAGAGAGAGAGAGAGAGAGAGAAAGAGAGAGTGAGGGTGTATGTGTGTATGTGTAATAGAGAGAGTGAGAAATATATAGAGAGAGAGCCAGGGGGAGAGAGAGAGTGTGTGTGTGTGCGTGTGTGTTTGTGTGTGGTGTGTGTGTGTGTGTGTGATGGAGAGAGAGAGAGAAAGAAAGAGAGAGAGAGAGAGAGGTGGGACCGAAAGAAAATCAAATTCAGAGTTCAAGTTTGTCGAATTGTCTCTTACATATTCCTGAAGAATTACATAGATTAATTAGGACAGACTAGAATAAGAGGAAAGGAGTGATAACAAAATCGCACAAAATAATGCAAACTAATTCACATGGAATATTGCAATGGGGGTATGGTAACCCTACGTACTGGACATAGTTACACCCTTAGGTCATCGGCTGTCATTTTGGCGGCCTTGATATTGGTATTGCTATTTCTCCCGGGCATACATATTGAGATTCGGCCTTGACCCAGGGATAAAAACGGCGTCCATCCACTTGCCCCCAACATCATTATCCTCAAGTATTGACAAAAATCGATTTCCACCAAAGGGGGTGAGCTGCGACCCCCTGGCAGTGGTGCGGATAGGAGACGTGAGGGGGGACGAGTGAGAACTTGAATGACATCGGATTCTGAGAAGGGATGCTGCCGATGGGGGAATGGTAAATTCATATTCGTGTCCACTACTTCTTCTTAGGATGGGCTTATTAAAGGGATTTGACAAGAGCATGACCAAAGCAACTATATACTTCGGTTTGCTCGCTCGTCTCTCACGTAACTATTGAGTCTCAGATTCTGAAAAAAAATCCTGGATTTAGCTCATGCTTCAATGATAATTATAAACCTTTAGGTCAGTCAGGAACCCCATGACTTTTACCAGCCGATTGCTTGTCTGATTATCAAGATATTTATGATTGTAAATCGAAATCAAATTTTGCGTTTTCCTAACGGTTTTCATAACACTACAGTCTATTTGGGAAAACGTGTCTGGCAAAACCGGTCACTCAAAGATTTTTACTTCTTTGAGGCAGTTCTTGATCGTTTTGAACCGTAATTTTTTAGGGCTTCAATATTACACCATATCACAGACACTGATAACACGTAGGGCCGTACATCTCAGATTTAACATTGTTAAACGATGCCTTTAAGTATGATCTTGTTTTGTTATAGCTTCATGTTTTAATGAGTTGTTTGTAATTAAGATCGAGATTAACGCTTTTTCCCCCTTAATCTGGACCTGTCGACCTTGATCCCTAGGGGGAAATGAGCACTCTCCAATATTGCCTCCTCAACATGCTATCGATTTGGGTTCATGGTTATGGGGACAAATTGGACATCAATCTCTGTCTCTGGACTCTCTTTCTCTCTCTCTCTCTCTCTCTCTCTCTCTCTCTCTCTCCCTCTCTCTCTCTATCTATCTTTCTCTTGCTCTCTCTCCTTCTCCCATATCTCTCTCTGCGGGTCTCTGTCTATGCCTGTCTCTGTCCACCTCTCTTTCCTTTTTTTTTTGTATTTGAATCACCCTCCATTTTTTAAAATTAATCACAATTATACAAATACTTAGAGTTTACAAAATACCTCCTTCATTTTTTTCTTTTATGTCTCTGTCTCTGTATGCCTGTCTTTAATGTACACAAATGTAGAAGAAAGAATTCCATGAACAAGCGAAAAGCGAAAGCATTAAAAACAATATGCCCTTTTTATCTGTTGAGTATTGATATAGAACATCGAACCCATTTATTTTATCTGTCATTCTTCTTTTGGACGCGTGTGAAATTGTCAATATTAAAACTCTTTTCTTCCAGAAGCATCATCTTTACCAACGATTTATAGCACCTCCTCTGTCCGTGATGATGGGCTGAATTGTCTTTTCTGTATGACGTCTGAGATATACGTAGTAACACAAAAATGTAACACGGTAGTCTACCTGCTCCTAATATCATCGTCAATAATATGGGCTCAAAGTGGCGTACATTGGGAAATTATTGCAAGGGAGACAGAAAGGGAAAGGCTTTCAGGTTTAAACCTCAGCAAATTTGAAAAGATGAAACTTAACATTTTTGGGTGCACATTTTGTATACATGGTATATTCGGCATATACGCAAAATACTGTTTAAAGATGTGGGAGAGAGAGAGAGAGAGAGAGAGAGAGAGAGACGCTTCGTGGGGCGCCATCTTATATTAACATTTCATACATTTACATAACGGCAAATTTATGGGGCTCGTCAGACAAGGGCTCCTTTTAGAGTACAATCTGGCATGTATATCAAGTGCACACATAATTAATAAGCTCCATACTTGTGTTCTTATATACCCTTCCAATTTTAATTTAAAAAAGGCACCTGTGAGAAAAAGAGGACACTTTTTTTTTGGTCCCAAAAAAAATCGCAACGACTCAGCCGACCGCTGAATAAGCGGGGGGGGGGGGGGGGGGGGGGGGAGGGGGCGAGGGGGGGGGGGGGTAAGAGTAAGAGGACACTTTTTTTGGGGGGGGGAGGGGGTCTCGAAATTTGAAAATTTGACATTTTGCTCCGTTGGGGGAGGGGGGGGGGTAAGGTCAGCTTTTTTAGGTCAGCCATGGGAATATTTTTTTATTTTTTTTCTTCAAATTTTAAATAAATAATAAAAAAAAAAACATCCAAAGGGGGGGTTAGGGGGGTTATCGGGGGGTTTACACACAGAAAAATACCAAAAATATACCCTGTGTACGCGCCTGATCCCCGTCATGATGTTCATATGGCCATTTATGAGGTTACACGCTAAGGCGACGTTCAAAGTTCATTCGTTGTCAAACATTTGTTTCTTTTATACTATTATGCTTGTCATTCATTTTAATGACGCCTTTGGCTACGTGTCAGCTATTTGAGCTACCTTAAGGCCAATGGACTTTAGAACATATATTTTATAGCTCCAAAGCAAATTTATTAAAAAAAATGCTTCAAAGAGATCTAAAAGTTACGTGAACAAAAAGGTCGGTGTTATGGCAGACCAGACAAAGTATTTTTTTTTTTCTTTAATAACATTTTTGTTTAAAGGATTTTCTTCGACAACTTCAAAATATTCTTTATTTTGAAACACATTCCTACATGAAATATACAATAAACCCTATTTTAACTGTGAACATTTTCAGAAGGTAAACCATTTAACACAATTTCATCCGTAGCCCGATGAGAGATAGAAAGAAAAAGAGGAGGAAAAGGAAATATTGATGTGTGTCCCTGTTTATCTCTCCACTATCATTTAAATCATTCACAGATGTTATTCCCCATGCCTTTTGTTTCTAAAAAGGTTTTGACTGCTAACCGTTTGCCTATAATTTTCTGTACATGAAGCTCTAAATCCATTTTACGACTTTGATCCATTACTTATTTTGATTTTCTTATATTCTCTGTCTCTGTCTCTGTCTCTCTCTCTCTCTCTCTCTCTCACATATGCATAAATTCTCCCCTCTGGCTCTCACCCTCTCTTCTCTCACACACAACACACACTCTCTCTATTTGTGTTTCTCTTTTATCCCTCAAATTATCCATCATCTCCACATATTATTCAGCAAATTATGCTACTTGAATCTTATCTGTATCAACCCCAATTCTGAGTTCAAACAACCCTTTTCCCTCTGAATCTTTACTCAGAATTAAATGTATATAAGTCATATTCTTGTTTATTTGATAGTATTCAACAACATAGTCATTGAATATGTTCAACTGATGGACGATGTAACATCGAGATTTAGTTATTTCTTCACAATCCATAAAATCCTACCAAAACGGATAATTTTGTAACTGCTTGTGAGGAAAGAGATGCTTCTCAAGATAGTTCTTATGGTAATACTAATTGTGAGGATATTTAAAAGACATGCTTATGACTAGAAGTACCCTTCTTTGAGTACCCTTTACCCTTTCACAATACTCGAATCAAACAATCCTATTACACAATTGTATAGAAATCAGAATAGAAGTTTATATAAGAATTATATGTATTCACAAACTGTTGATAACGATTTCTACAAACTCGTTTAGAAAACATTCAGAAAACATTTGCATTTTCTTAAAAAGTAATTAACAATTGAATTGCAATTGGCATAAATTAATTTGTAGGATAGAAGCATGATAACATATTTCAACTGCATGAAATCAAGATTCCCATTTTTCTAAATCATTATCAACACAAATTTTGAAACTGATAAACTGCACATACATACATGTAATCTGGAAAAAATTCAAAGCAAATATCTAAAATGCAAATGTTGGAAAGTGTAGTTCTTCACATGAGCGCATGATTTAGAGGACACAGTACTCTAATAAACTATGAAAATTTATAAAATCCTAACAAGTATTCACAAAAATGTGAGAGTTGATGAGAGCATAACACTTAGCAATGATGTCATTTTGTTTACACTTTACACTTTGCAGGTCAAAATAGTTCTTATCCCTAAAAAATGATGTGACAGTATGAAAATGGATGGAGTTTGAGGATTATATGGAGATACATGTAGATGTATGCAATATAACTTTCAGAAATTATAACTACTCAAGGAATTCCATGTTCGAGGCTAAATTGAGACAATGCCAGCCTCAAAGTAGGATAACATGTATGTTATCACATCACAAAAGGTCATTACATGACGGTACATGTAGATGGAAAACTTATACTACCTTCATCAGCATCTTTGGAAGCAGAAAACTAAGGAGTTAAGAGTGCAGCACTTACAATCATATTTGTGACACTCAAACAGTGGACTGATCCTGAATGACTTTTTAGGTTGGCATACACTCTCACGTTTCTCTCTATGAGTGAGGTACATCTTGGAAACCTAGTATGTGAATTACAACCTTAAAACTGTTTGGAAGTCAAATCATGAGCAACAAGCAAATGCATTTTCATGAAAATGTTATCAAAACATTTAAAAGTTCTGAATCTCAATACATATCATTGTTACAGGTTGTTCACTGCCCTCTTGCAATCTGTGCTATTGGATTTAAACAATCTCCTACCTTCCAAATCTCATGAAATGGTTGATGCTTTCTGAATATATGGAGCTAGACGATCATATTATTATCCCTCTCAATCTGTGATGCCTACTCGACAACATTCCTATTGTAGTAGATTGTAACAACAAACTGATAGCCACATCTGACAGATGATGTATTCACATATTTCTCTTTGATTTGAGTGGATGGTTACGTACAAAACAAATGCACCGTGTATAGATCAAGAAATGAAAAAATCTAATGTAAAAGAAGAATATATAATTGACTTAAAATCACTATACATGCCATCCCAATCAGGTAGAGAAAACCAGCATCCCTAGAATACTGGTTGAAGTCGTCATCCTCCTGTGTATATGTCTCTAAACATTACCATAAAAAAATGTCACAGACATCAAAAGTCAATGTTGCATCTCAGAGAGTTAAAAGGAAAAAAATTATCCGAAATCTTTGAAGTTCTATCATACTGCAGCCTTATATAATCCACCATCCACTATTCATCAAGTTAATGCTGTCTCTTAAAGTAGATGCTGACAAAAGACGCGAGCAACTCTTCATTTTCTGATGTTTGCGTATCTCACATGCTCTCCATCTGGAATTTCTTCATTTAACTTCTTCATTCTGTTCTTGCTCTTCAAGATCTCATACCGATTCTTGTCCACACTGATCTTGGCGTAGGCGAATGAAGAAACTCCTACCACCATGATACCGACCCTGTGGGTGAAATCAAACCAAAGATAATCACAATTTTTTATATTTTTTACAAGACATATATTATTGTAGATTTGTAAAAAGCTGTTTTATTATTTATGAAAAGAAATATTGTTGTAGGTCTAGTTTCACAAATTTTACAATATAAATTGGTAATGTAATTTCTATGTGGGAACATATATACCCAGACTACCATACTAATTGCCCCTCCCACCCCAATACAAAATGAATTAATTTAAAAAAATGCTAAAGAATATATGGCCCTGCCCCTGGGCTGGGCAAGTCATTCATACTAACAAGACTAGCGGCCAAAAGGCAAATTACCATCTTCAAACTAGCGATATGTAGTCAACATGAAAATATAACATTAATCACACCAGCAAGACATAGTGCCAATGCCAGAGTTTTACTTTTAGACCCAGCCTAATCCACTACCAGCACTCTTACAAAGTAGTACATGTCATAGACCGAAAACTTCAGTCTCTCTAATCGTCGGTTGTTCCACTGAGACTACGTCTGGCTCCACTAGACCTCCGATTATAGAGACTGAAGATTGTCCTATCGGGACTGTATGGAACCAATGGTTCGGTTCGGCAGGACCGCGATGAATGAGATATGCTACGAGATTTTCACTCTTTACATCCTCACACATGCTGCAATATGACAATAATTAGAGTCTAATTAAAAATAACATATATATAGCTTATTTGACTTACGATAGCTTGCTCATTTAGATCCTAAATTAATGATTAATCCGAGAAAGTCTCGTCGTCAACATTATCCGTCTTGGTTTTAGTTGATGAATATTAATTTTTTCTTTTCGAACGTCCAATAGCTACCGTAGCTACATACGAGTCGGCCCGGCTTGACCAACGAACTCCCACGAAACGAGTGCTCTGATTGGCCATTGGCTATGTTTTGGTAGGTGGACCCGGAAATATATCGGCCGCCGGGTAATATTTCGAATGCATGAACGTACTGCTTCGCGGTTCTGAGGTACAAATTGGATAATTCATATAAGTAAGTCCGTAAATTATTTATTTAATATTAAGTTATCAAATTTTGAAAACTGTAATTAGGACAAATGACATACCGACCTAATTTACATCTGATTTAGAAATCAGAAAATTAGATCTAAATAAAGAAAATCGGGGGAGAAATGTCGGAAACGAAAAGCTGTTCCGCTGTGGCTCTAATTTACCCGCACGGTACGAGATCTCTGGGTTGCCATCTGTATTGGGGAATGACAACAAATGTCAGTTTTATTAAAGAAATGACCCAAATCAGAATTCAGATGGTTATTGCTGTCTAGATCTATACTTAGGTCTACATGTCAATGCATGCAGTCTAACCATAAATCTAAATGAAATATCCACAACAAATAACACATGCTATGCTAGTAAAAAGTAGTATTAGTAATTGACCTAGAATCTACTAGTTTACTCTGATTGCATCCATGTGACATGTAAAGTACAGTTTCATATAGTTTCATAGATATAGCTAGACTCATCATAACACAGGCCACAATACATGGGGCCCACGGCTACAGTTACACTCCACAGCAAATGTTTCTTAAAGTTCGACTCACCAACTCAGCATGATTTTGGCTGATTTACTAAGAACCATAGCTACTCTCTTGTTGCAAAATATCAGAGAGAAAAAAAATCAACTATGAAGTATATTTTGTGCTCGTTTCGCATAGGAAGCTTATTTTTAATTCCAGTGCATTGACATTACACAATTACGACTTCCGGTTATCAGCATCTTCTTCTTCTTGTTCTTCCTCCGCTTTTTCGGAGATCAGCGATCCCATGGGCCGCAAGACATATAACTAAACAGGAGCACAAGCATCATAAACGCCGTAGCAGACGACATTTATAATTTATCAAGATTATCCTTAGCTACGGAGAGCTGAGGTACGATTTTTTTATGTAATTGGAAGGGAGAATCAATACATTTTTTTAATTGCAAAATGTTTACTTTGGGGCCAGGTGTGTTGAGAGAGAGAGTTTAGAAATATTAAGTATAACAAAATAAAGCTGTACACTTCCCAGAATGCAGTTCAAATGAGTAAACTGAAACAATCCCTCTTTTTAAGGTTAAAATTGAAATGACTTACGGTGTCTTCGATAGTACAAAGCAAAAATAAAAGATACGATATGTACGCATTAATCAGCTACCATTATCAATTCTCAGGATCCGTAACAAAATAAAAAGGCAAACATAAAAATACAAGCGCCATTTACTGTCCCAGTGTGTTTCAGTTTAAGAAAATGCAATTTAGTATGGAACCGTCAGTACCTGAAATTTATTTAATGTTGTTCATTTTTTGTAACGGGTATGATCAACTTGTTAAGCCACATGTTTGTTTGTTTGTTTGTTTTGTTTTTTTAATTTTTGTTAAAGTTTTATTTTAACAGGGTCGTCTCATTCAAGTTCATTTTTGAACCTGCTCTCCCAGAGAGCCCTGCATTCACATAAAAAACATGTACAATAATAACATGAATTCAAAACATACATATAAAGGTAAAATATACATGGTATATACAATAATTAAACATAGGTAACGAAAAATACGCATTAACAATTATAAGGAAAAAGAATACAACTATCAAATTGAGAAAACTAGATGAATGAAATGTAATAAATAAAGGTCAAATGTTTCACATATTTAAGTTGATTTTTATATGTACATTGTAAATGTTTATAACCTGTTTTTGCTTTTAACTGAATTTGAAATAAAATTGGATCTATCAATCAATCAATCAATCAATCAAACATAAATCTCGGTCATTCGATTTTTTTACAGCGAATTACTCTCCAACTTAAAACTCAACTTATATCTAGAGGGGAAAAAGCAGTACGAGGCCTGATACCCAAATTACATTTCAAGAATAAACTAACAATTAGTTTTCCAGTCTAACAGGAAGGCCCCAAACGTTGAGTTTGAACGTGTAAATTGTAGATATTTAGCATTTCAATTTGCACATGAATGGCATGATTATCATTCATGGAAGAGGAGATATTATGGAAAAACAGTCGTATTAGATTAACAAATTCTACAGTACAATTTTCAAAGTGGAGCACGTGATTACAAATGGTAGCTGGACAGACTCGATTCTGTTAAATAGTACAGTTGGTATTAATCAATTATTATTTGAGCTCGAATACGCAAAATTGAAGAAATGTTTCCCTTACTTAATTACTTACTTTACTTTAATCCATCGATGTTGGTCAGACAGGGCCTGTTCATCGATCGATTGAATTCCTTTACATCAATACTTCAGTTTGCTGTGATTTTTTGTTGAGGTGTGTGTGTGTGGAGGGTGGAATAGTTCTGCATTCTGCTGCTAGTTACTTTCAGGGTCATTATACTGAAGGTGATTTTTCCCAATAGCTATCCAGTTTGTTTGTGAAGGCATGTACGGATGGGGCATTATGAACACTCCTTCAAATCTTCAAATAAGCTATTCCGTGTGTCCACTACTCTATTCGAGAAAAAGAATTTCCTGTTATGTCAAGGTGTGCAAGATCTCTTTCCACTTAAGATTCTTTCAGGATTATGGTTTTATTGCCATTCTTCATGCGATAATCATAACTTGGGGGGACCTGCCAATTTTCAACACAGTACATTTTTCTGGGTGAATTATAATCTTTATATATTTTCTCCCCATGCCTTTGCCCAGTTTATATGATTTGAGTTGCGTGCATCGCATTTCACAAAATCTTTTATGAACTTTGAAGAATTTATACTATTTTCTGAATATTATTTATTCATAATCATTGATTTTTATATAAATAGTTAATAAAATTCACATTTTCCATGATATAACTGAGATAAAAAAAAAACTATATTAATGCATCCACACAAAAACATATTACTTTTAATGTAACTTGGATGCTGGTGTGAGGAAATGAGATTTTTAAGTAGGGGGAAAATTTGAATTTTTTGTTATCAATATAAAGAGAACAATTAGTGGATAGTGAGGCAATGACGTCACAGAGATCCTGAGTGAGTTGCCAATAGGCCTATACGTCTTGTGATTTTCAAAGTTTTCAATGTTATTCAAAATTCATAGCTTTCTTATTTATTATCCGATTTTGCTCAAACTTGTTTTGATTGGTTTGTCGGATTTTTCTGCTTTCAGGCTTTTGGAAGTAAATTATATTTGGAGTGGCCTTGCCCTTTAAAGTAAACATTAGCGGAGTTGAAAATGAAAATGACCCACAATTTTTATATATTGTCAAGAACATGTTCAGAAGATAATTATATGAACTACTTTTTCTGCACAGAACCATCTAAAATATGTTTCTAAAATATAATTCTATGTTTGGCTAATCAAGTAATAATAATAATAATAATAAACCATTCTTATACAGCGCATATCACAAAAATAATGTTAATTCCCTATGCGCTCAGAAAATAGAAAAGAAGGGATAATAGCAGACATGAGGGAAGAGAAGAGAAAGAATATACACGTACATGCACAAAAAGCATTTTTGGAAGGAATTTAAAAAAAAAACACATACAGATGATGTAGGCCTATAAACATTTAAAGCCCGGGAAATAGAACCTTTTTTCTTGAAATTTGTTTTTCATAGAAAGGTTAACCACTTTTATCAAGTTAAACAAATCATTGTACCTTTTTACGCGAAATTTGAACTCATCCTGCATAGACTATGTACACAAAATCAAACTTAATTTAAATGATAGTAATCGATTTGTGATGAAACTAGATCTAGCTTCTAGTTGAAGGCACGCATTCAATATAGATAATTACAAGAAATTTAAAAAGCAGAAAAATTTAAAAATACATTATATTATACCATACAATTAATATATATACTATACAATGATTTATCCAGCCGAAAGTTTCAGTCATGTTTGCGACACAGTGCTAATTTACATGTGATTTTGCTTTCTACCGCTCCTATAAACAAACCAAATATCTGTACAGAATATCAATTGGTGAGCTGAATCACAATTTTCTTTCATTTGTCATATTTGATCAACATTATCAACTTGTATTACCAATTGAAGTGGATTACTAATCGTTAAATTAATTACTATTGCCCCATGTGTTTATTTTTGTGTTAGTTCGTGTTCGTCCTCGTGTGCTGGCTTTGGATCATACCAGCTGCATCGCGCGAAGCGCCATACTAGCCTGAATGTGTACGAGGTGGAGGACTACTGCACATGGAAAGGGTGTGTGTCATGTGTGCTTGCACACAGCTACACTGAAACTGACGAGATCAATTTTAAATCAACAATTAGGGTCTAAACATTGATTGAAACAAAAAACAAAAAACATCAGCAACATGAACAACAACAACAACAAAGTTTAAACATCAGGGCAGCGTTTCTCAAAACCGTCATAACTACAAGTTCACCGACATCCCATTTAAATGCGTGTATTAAGTTTAACACACGTTTCAATGGGATGTCGGTGAACTTGTAGTTATGACGGTTTCGAGAAACGCTGTCCAGAGAAAGACATCAAACAAACAAGACACAAACACAAATTGACAAATAAAAAAATCACTACAAGAGCAAAGCCAAAACTAAAGTAGATTCTAACTAAGGACAAAACAAAAACTAGAAAGGTGCATGACGCCTATTTGGGAGACTCTTATCATATTCATCAGTAGGGGCGCTGGTCCGAGAATGAGGATTGTCCTCGTAAACAAAGATATCCTCATAAAAGGGTGTCTGAACGATTTTTCAATTTTCAATTTGGAATCGTTTTTCACCATTTTTGTTTGATATTTGAATAAAAAATGTTATCAGAATAATACATTTCAAATTTCAAGTCTCACCGATGTTTCTATCAAAAGTTACAGCCCCTCCAAAACGCTGGTATATTCATATCATTTTGGTCAAAATCGACCAAAAAGACGTCCACGCAGAGTGATGTTGTTTTGCTAAATATATGCAAGCGTATGCATATAGTACGCATGTTGCTAAGCCAATGCGCGACTTGCAGCTTGAGCCACGCTGTCTCCGCGATATGTGCCATTGACTAGTATGGTTGGCAATTCCCGCCGTAGAACCCGGAAGTGAATACACGTTGTAGTCAATGGCAATATCGCGGAGACAACGCACGTTGTCTTCGCGATATTGCCATTGACTATAACGTGTATTCACTTCCGGGTTTATCGAGGGAATTGCCAACCATAATTTCAGTCATTATAACGTGTAATTGAATTTGGGGTTTCGTTCGTGCGCGGAGATGTTACGCGATGTAACCATGGTTTGGACTGAGCGGAGCGCACGCCCCCTAATTAGCTGATCCACCAAATAGCGAGAAGGGTATTTTTAAACTGTTATCAGTTGTGATCCCTGGGGGCTAGCGAAAATATAATCACATAGAATTGTTCCTTAGGACTGGGACTACTTATCGATCGGGGCGTCATATCTCAAAAGTGACAATCCTCAGAGTTAGCCAGGACACAATGTTTAAATTGCTGTTTTGACCAAGATATTTTTATAATTTCGGGGGCTACGCCCCTTTGGAAATATTGGAATTCTCCTGCTCTTTCATATGACACCTCATTCATTGATTATCACCTTCAGGATCACAACAGATAAAGGTTTGAATCTCGATTTGAAAAAAAAAAATTGACTTTTTTTGCATGGTCACGCAATGCACGTAGGCTGCATAGGGATGCGTGTAATCTCTATGGGAAGAATTTTAGCACACAACATCGGGTGCGCGATCAGACACCCTACTCATAAACGCGGACTAAAAGCGTCCTCATAAACAAGCATCGTCTGCATTTTCGCGGACGTTTTTATTTCATCGGCGCTCTGCGGGTTTCGGGTTACTAAACCGCCCGCTGGCAATGCCAAATTTGGATTCCCCAGGGGAAAATAACCCTAGTTGACCGTCTACTTTTATGGGTTGTCCGCCTTCCCAAGGATTTGTTGCTCATAATGTGAAGGTCTCTGTACAAAGTCAATGTAAAATGCATCAAGAAAATACTCTCGGAATCCTTTTTTTGCATTGCCAATGTGCCGATCAAAAATATGGAACATCTGTTTTTTTGCAGACGATCCTTGTTTTTGAGGACGTATTGGTCCGCGTTTACAAAGACGATCTCTTCATTTATGAAGACAATCCTTATTCTCGGACCAGTGCCCCTACTGTTCACAATAATGATTGGAGATTTATCATTTAGCCAACAAAAAGTAAGAAACAACAACTACAAAAAAAGATTGTGTTTGTCTCTCCATGGTCAGGAGTCCATTGCCATCAGATGTGTGTGTCATGGTGGGGATCATAATAAAAGCTGTTGTGAAAACAAAAGTAGATGATGAATTTTTGAAGTAGGGTCTAGACGGACAAAAGGGTTAATTTTTCATGAGGAATCTGCTTATCACGTTTTAAATATATATTTTGAGCCAAGATAATCGATTTGCGGCAAATGTAAATAAAGGAAATTGGTATCCCTAATGCCGTAATGGGAGACGTCTCCCAAATGGGCTACTAAAACCTTGACAAAAGCCTCTAACATTAGAGAGGGTCTCTCAAATAGGAAGTAGACTCTCATATTGGCCACACACCTCTACTGAAAAGAAAAATATGGAATGTTTAATTAACTGTCCTATACTTGCATAAGTTTGCAGTTTAGTTCTCAGCTAAAATTCTTTAAAATACAAATGAATGATTAAAATTAGTTGTGGATTATGTTGGATATATCTTCACATGAAATTTACTATAAAGTAATAGAGTGGTATGGTCTTGTCTTCTGTTCATTCTTGTCAGAGCTAGCTGTTACAAGATGGATCCGAACGGAAACGATAGGCAGGATTCTGATCCGGATGAAGGGATTGAGCTCTATGATGATGATAACGACATGCCTGCAGGTAACTTCATATGGTTGTGTTATGTTATGTTCTACATACTGTTTAGATGTTGTATACATGTCTATTTGAGTGTCTGCCTACTGTCATTAGATTTGAGCTAAATTTAACTGCTTCAAATTATCTTAAATTGAATCTACATGTTTTATTGAAGGTACTGCTTTGGATTGAAAGAGTTGAATGAAGTAAATTGTCAGATTTTATTGAGTGTCATTTTCAGACAGTATTACAAATGTGATCTTAGAATAACAATACCATTGCAGACAACGCTACCCACCAAAATTCTAGGTGGGGAATTATTCTAAGATTTACAGAAAATTTAATATTAACTAATAGCTATTCTATGCATTAATCCTGTTTATAGATGACCTGGTCAATGACATGGGTGATATGGATTTCTATGAATACGACGAGCAGGATGAGGAGGCAGATGATGGTGACGAAGGGAGAGGAATAGATGAAGAAGGAGCCATGGCAGCTGCAGCTGCAGCTCCCAGGGACGATGCTGTCACTTGCTTTGATACCCATTCTGGTGAGAAAGTACAAGTGCTTATTTGAAGGCCTACTGCACTACTTGCGCCCTCTATATAGCAAACAATGCCTAATCGGTGACCAATGGTCCCCCATGATCCTCTTTTTCTTATGTTAATTAAAGTGAGAGCTGATTTGATGAGATAACCACCTGTCGGTGACTTTGCAGTGTGGTCTTATCCCTCATGTAAACTAGTACAGATGGGCTTTAAACAAAAATCATCTCGTTGAATGTGGTCCTACAGTGTACTACTCGTATCAAAAGATGCATGTATTAGATTTTCTGATGATCTGTCAATGAGTTCCTTTGATTTTTTATAATATTCCACTAGAGGAGATAAGGTTTCCTTTAGAATTTTAGAAAGACATCCAATGAATTGTTGTTGTTTTTAGAGAGAGAGAGAGAGAGAGAGAGAGAGAGCACACCTTTTAATGGTCAAGGTATGTTTAAACAATAATATAGTAGGACATTACTTGTTACTATAACCGTGTTGTGCACAAACAGATGGGTTATTCAGACAGATCATTTTAAAACAGTGAATGTAACAAGATTAAATGTACTATCTTATGAATCTTTCAAAAGGTTAGTTGAGTTGTTGACAATATTATAGATGGAAAATATTGATGGCAGCTCATTCTACTTTATGCATACTTTTTTTGTACAATCAAGGGCAAATGTGACATCTGTGATTTTGGTAGGGGTCTGAATATGCAACCCCACGCTATGAACTTGGGTCGAGTGGATTTGTCACTGGACTGTGGATCACAAGGTCCGCGGTTCAAGTTCCGCCGCAGCACTTATGTCTTTTGGCAAGACATCAATCTACATTCGCCACTCTCCAACTAAGGTGTTAAATGGGTACCCGGTAGTATGCGCTTGTAAAATGATGCCTGGCTGGAATGCTCCCCAAGGAATGGAGAATGTGCATACATTGTGTGCAGTTAAGCCTGAATCCGATGACCTGGATAATAATATATATCTGTAAAGCGCTTTGAGAGGGCCTGCGGTCCTGAAAAGCGCTATATAAAAACGAACTATTATTATTATTACTCATTGTATTATGTTTTACTTATTTATTACTTAATGTTATTGTTAATTTTTCTTCTTATTAGGTGCTGTGTTCTGCTGTGACATCCATCCTGCTGGTGGATGTTTGGCTGTCACTGGAGGGGAGGATGACAAGGCCTATATCTGGAATACGACCACAGGAGAGTCAGTTTTAGAATGCACAGGTGAGACAAGATCTATCAACTATCAAATTATTTTCTAGAACTTTTAAGAGTCAGTTTGGCATGGATTATATACTATTGTATGATATAGATCAAATGACTTTGTCAAGAACCAAATTGGAGCGAAGGGCACCCTATGCCAGAAAATAGATAAGAACAAGTTACAGTATTTTGGACACATTTCTAGGAGAGGAGGTGACAATTTTGAGAGGATCATTCCCCAAAGTCTTGTTGAAGGTCAACAAAAACGTGGTAGGCAAAAAGGTTTGATGGGCTGACGGAATAAAAGAGATTACTGGCATGAACATCTACGCAGCTAATCAATGTGCCCAGGATAGAATTGATTGGAACGTCATCATCAATAGGGTCACAAAGGGTCAGTCATGACACGTAGTAGGACAACAAGGATGATATATAGGGACACTGATTTTCTGTTTTAAAAAATGGCTTTTTCCTTTTCAGAAAATTTGGAATTCCGTTTCAGATGGGCTGAAAAACGTAAATTCCAATTTGCCATTTACTTTGTACACATGAAAAAACTAAAATTCTGTTAACATAAGATTTGCATACAAACATGAACTTGTAGAGTACAAATGTTCTATTAAAGGTTCTAACATTAAAGAGTCAGTTGAAATTCAGGTATTCGACTTGCATTTCACAATCATGACCGGATCAAAAAGGAATCTTACATGGCAAACAAACAAATAATAGATACATTGGGGGGGGGGTAGATTATATTTAACATGCATTTCACACATTGCATGTTTTTATTCTTACCACTTTCAGATGAATTTTTTTTTTTCCAAAGTAAAATGTTGAATTCTTTTGGTGCATTTCAGATGGAAATTTAAAAGGAGAAAAAAATGTTACATATACATATACATAATGCACTATAACTGGTGATAAAAAACTGAAACAAAACATTAAGGACTTGTGCACCTAATTTTACCATAATTCTGTTTTCTCATTTGTGCAGTTTTGTCACAGTGCAGTTTTGTCACAGTTCAGTTTTGTCACAGCTCTGACCTTTCAACATCACCGTTGTAATACAGCGTGGTCATCATTTTTGTGTTTTCAGTTGTTAAGCTCTCTCTTTTGTCATTAAGGATATGTTTGTACTGTAAAAAGCTACGTTCCATGTCAACACTTGACTCCGGCATCCACATGGCATCCATAGCAAGATCGGGGTACCTGTGAGACATCGACTCCCAGAAATGGGCAAGATCAAGAGGGTTAGGGATTTCTGATGGGTTTAGGTTGGTGTACATTAGCCAGGCCTGTAGAGCCTCTGTAGTCAAACCAGGTATGATGTGCTGGTAGTCATCTATGTTTAGTGAAAATAGACCCGAGCTGTCTCGGATCGAAAATCGGAGCAGCCTTGTAGAAAGGCATAGCTGGATGTTGGTCGAGATGCTTGTTGATCTTGTGTGCTGCTGCCTTGAACACTTTGTTAAAGGTCTTAGAAAGCTTCCCTCTCTCTGCTGCAGGTTTTTCTTGCAGCAGCTTGTCAGTTTCACCAAATGACGTCCTCTCAGCAGCAAGGAATCCTCTGACATCTTGGAGAACATTGTAAACGGTGCAGGCCTCGTTGTGGCCTCTATCCTGGTGAGTGCTGTTGAGAGGCGGGCACTGTGTTAAACTCATGTAGAGTTTCAGTTCAGTGTAGATGTCCTTGTTTTGTAGCATCTCTAGTATGGTTTTAACAGCCACACCTTTACTTTGCTCCTGGCTGAAGAAGACTTCATAGACATGAAGATGCTGTGAATGATATTTAACCGAGTTATACCATGAATTCCATCGCGTGGAAACAGGGACAGGGGGCAACTTGCACTGGTCAGCTGGTAGATATTCTCTGACAAATTTGAGGTACCTGTTATTGCGTGCTGGCTTCTTGAAGAATGCCGACTTCACCATCTTGATGAAAGGGTCAATCCTGCTGAATTCTGGGTAATGCTGAAATGCTTCAGCACCAAGATTAATGATATGAGCCAGACATGGCACATGAATACTTCTTGACAATAAAGGCTGAAGAACTTCTCTGGCTGCCTTTTGACAATATGTAGCGCTATCTGTGACAACAGCTATAACGAGGATATATCATATATCATCTAAAGATCTTTGTAATTCCTGACTTCAACCCAACACTATACCTAACCTTATTTCTAACACACTTTTGAGGATTATTGAGGGAAACAATGTCTTGTTTGTTATTTTTGCCATGTCTGCATTAATTCTCAGTAGACACATACATGTACTACAAACCATGATTGGGCATGATAGAGAACATATCAAATTTTCCCTGACGATAATCCTATGCAATGCCCTATCACTTCCACACCCTCTCTGTATCAGAGTTGTGTAGAAATGCTTCCTATGAAATATGTATAAAAATATTGTACATCTAAGGAGAAGTTTATGTTGCACGATGGAGGCGCGATAGCTCAGTTGGTAGAGCAGTGGTCTCGTAATCCGGTGACCCGGGTTCGTAACCAAGTCGATGCGCTAGTGCCCTTTGGTAACTTGGCATTAATCCTCCTTAGAGGACCTAACGCTGTCGGTCCTCTAGGTTGCTCACTAACAAGCATTTATGCTTTCTTAGCAGTCAGGTAAAAAAAAAAAACACCACTTCAACCTACCTACCACAACCATTTGGATGATTTGGTATTTCCTTCGTTTTTTTCCCATCCTAGGGCACAACGACTCAGTGACATGTGTTTGTTTCAGCTATGATGGAGAACTGGTTGCTACGGGTGACATGAGCGGTGTTATTAAAGTGTGGAAGCTGGCAGACAAGGATGAGATCTGGACCTACGAATGCTCAGATTTAGAGGTATGTTTGATATCCATCTTAAGCAGAGAGAAAACTATCAACATTTTGTCTTTATAACAAAATGAAAAGAATTTTGTGATTCATGTCAAGAATTCAATGACTTTGATAAGTTTTAGTATCAATAATATTTTAATAATATATTTTATTTAAATGGTGCCAGATACATCATGTTATTTTTAAGTGCGTTTAGTAAATTAACCTTATACATGTTCTTGAATTGAATACAAGGATTGAATGAGCAGTGCAAATTGATCCCATCAGCACATTGTAACTTTTGTTAAAGAATACCTTCTCTTCATAATTTCCTTGCAGTGGTTGACATGGCATACTGGTGCCAACATTCTACTTGGAGGCACTGTAGAGGGCAGTGTTTGGATGTGGAAGATACCATCTGGTGACTGCAAGATGATGCAAGGACATGGATCTCATCTGACGTGTGGAAAAATCTTCCCAGATGGTACATTAACTTTTGATTTATCATTTATATAACTTTTGATATAGCAACTATTATTAAAGGGATTGGGTAACTCTGTCTCAGATTCTGAAACAAAATCCTAAATTTTGCTAATGCTGCAATGATAATAATAAACCTTTAGGTCAGTCAGGAACCCCATGACTTTTCCAAGCCAATCGCCTTTCTGATTATCAAGATATTTATGATTGGAAATCGAAATAAAACGGTTTTCATAACATTACAGTCTATTGGGGAAAACGAGTATGGCAAGACCGGTCACTCAAAGATTTTTACTTTTTTGAGGCACTTCTTGATCATTTTGAAGCTTAGGGCCTCAATATTACACCATATCACAGACACTAATAACATGTAGGGCCATGCATCTCAGATTTAACATTGTTAAACGATGCCTAATTTCTACTTTTTGTGAAGTAAATTTTATAGATTTTGATTATACTGATTATACCATCGACTGAATGACTTTTACGCCCCATGTAAATTTCGTCCTCACATTCACAATAAGTAGTATGGTGAGGATCATTAATTAGGGTGTACTCGTAGTATATTTCTGCTGGGTATAGAAAGGCAAATAATTTGTGGGGTTCATGAAAAAGGCCTTCTTTCATAGGGAAGGATTGTATCCACTTCTAAATTAGACATCTGAATTATGAGAAAATTATTAGCAACTTAAAAACAAAAATTGAAAGCCCCTGTTTATGTTTTTACCTGGAAATGATGTAACAGACAGTAGTGAATTCATCTCTTGATCTATATAGTGCACAATTTGAAATAGATTCAAGCTTATTCTTTGACTTATCTTTTTGTTGTAAATACCTTCCTATTGCTCTTTTCGTTAATTTCTCTCTTGTTCACTTTCTTCTATGTTTTTTGTTTCTTTATGTCAGGAAAGAGATGCTGTGTAGGGTATAAAGATGGATCTGTCAAGATGTGGGATTTGAAACAAACTAACACAGTATTTCATTTCAAAGGTAAGAATACTACTCTTAATTTACATTGTTGTACAAGCCTCTGCATGACTCAAACTTTAGCGTTGCATATCTTTTCTATATGTGTAATTTATAAATATTTCTCTATGGACTGACTGGCTTAAATAAATGAAAGAATTGATGACCAAAATTTTATCGTAATATTGCAAATGATATATTAATAGAACCCTTAAGTATCAAAACAAATATCCACCAGCTCTTGTCATTTTCTGAAATAATTCATCAATTTTTGAAATCTTTAAACATAGTTTTGCATGAAACTGTCAAACCTTCTTTGTCTACCAATTTGCAGTACATAATTCAAGAACCAGGCAAGATATTTGGCATATGTCGGTGAAGGAAATGCTTAAATACTTATTTTGTTTCAATCAACTCACCGGATTTTTATCAAACCATCTCACTTTTTGTTTAGATATTAATGGACATGCGGCAGACGTGACAACATTAGACTGTCACCATGACAACATCGTAGCTTTGTCAGGTTCAGTGGATGGCACAGCCAAGCTACTCAGTAGTAACACAGGAAAGGTAAGCAGACAGAAATGAGTTTAATCCGTTAATCCGCAGATTTTTTTTGTATGACTTTTAATTTTCTTTTGTAGAACAAGCAAAAAATGTGCGATGTGTAAATTCTTGGCTTTTGGACGTACATTTTTAGAATCATGGATTTTACAGCTTTTATCTGACTTTGTCTTCTCAACACATTTTCCAGAAGTTATATGTATGATGTCTTATAAAGAAACATAAACAGATTTAAATACATGCGATCATGTTAGTACATTTGGCTATTTTATTCTTGTTAGTTAAAAGAAAAAGAAAATCAATGTAGGTTCTTAGGCTGCTATCTTTGCTTGTACAAAGCTATCGCCTTTAACGACACCTTTTGTTCCAGATATGTAATGATATGCTATATTCACTTCATTTTGTTTGATTTGGAATTACAGGTTTTAGCCACATTTTCTGGTGGTGCAATCAAAGAAGACATTGGAGAAACAAACTCAGTGGAATCAGTGGGCTTTTCACCCAGGTAAATCATCCTTGACCATTTAGATGGGGAGAACTTTTGGAATTTGTCCTGCAGTACACGAGGATCAAGTTAGAAAGAGCTTGACAGCATTTGTTCACTCTATGAAGTACTAGACAGCTGATTTAGAGATAGCATGACGTTTCAACAGACCTTTTGTTTGTATTAAAGTTGGGTACAGTCAAACCTGCTTTAGTGACCACCTGTCTACAAAGACAACATTTTTTGTTTCCCTTGAAGATGGTTTCTAATTGAAACATGTACGAAAGGAATCTGTACATACAGACCACTTTACTTGTCCCCCTTTTGTGGTCTTTATAGACAGGTTTCACTGTACTTGTTTTCTCACCCTGAAAAAGGCGTGGAGCAAGAATAGCTGTGTGTCATGAATTAATTTACAAAAATATGTGAAGTGAATCTGTACTGTGTGGATTTATGTTCATTTGATAATGTAAGGCCCGCATTTAGAGGTATATTGAGCTCAGCATGTACACATGTATGCACTGCACTCTACAATTATTTAGTACTACTGCCATATCTCTGTGTACTACTTATTATGTACCGCTACAACTTCATATACGACTTGTATATCTTTTTGTGTTTCCTTGTTATTACAGTCAGCCCCTTGCTGCCTTGGGCTCCCTAAATGGCATGCTGAGTATCTGGGATATCCCTACACAGAAGCAAAGGCATCAGTGTGACCACGGGGTAAGGATTTGAATCAGCATTTTAAACATTGACTTTTCTTTCAGTTGATACGGCAACCACTCAGGTTCCTTTGGCGATGGGTTAATATGATGTGAACTATATATATATCTTCTCTTGGCACACAAACGAGGGGCAGGAACCAAGAGACATGGATAAGACCGCACACAACCCTATAAATTTAATTCATTACAATCACTCAAAAAATGTTTTGAGTGATGGGGTTGAAAAGAGAGTACATTTGGTATGATAAGTCATAAAGATTATCATTATCTATTGTGACCTGTAATTTAAAGCTACCCTTTCATTTTATTACCACCCCCTTTCTAACCATACTTTACCTCCATGCAGGCGGGCATCGTGAGACTAGCCTGGGACATTGAAAGTCCAATGATCTTCACAGCTGGTCTGGATGGAATGGTCAAGCTATGGGACAGTCGGTCATCAGAGAAGGTTGCATCCTGGATGGGTCACCAGGGAGAGATTCTGGACCTTGCGATCAGCAGGTGAGTGCTCTCTATTTACTCAATTTATCCAAAACATTTATTCCTCCTTCATTGCTTTCGAAAGCACGTTTGACACGTACAACTCATGCCACAGGAATAAACTTATATTTATCTTTAGGTGACATGTGATAAATTAGGAGCACAAGAAGACAAATCATGTCCAAGGAAGTTTTTAGAATGGAAAGATTCTCTGGGTCACATTAACAAATACTAATTTTGAAAAATTTAGCTCTATTTTCTATATATCCTTTGTTTTATATATATGTTTTCATATGGCATAGATACTCTAGATACATTTGTTAAAAATCTATATATCTTAACATTTACCCCTCTTTCCCATCCTCTCTGTTTCTTCTATTCTACCAGGGATGGTAACACCATAGTAACCGCATCAGGAGATACATCAGCAAGAGTTTTCAAGGTCCAGCAACCAGACAGATAGAACCAGACTGAGATCCTACATTCATTTTTTTTCTTGTCTTATTGTTGAAGACAGATACAACTATTTTATCGTGAACAAATAAAAAGCTACCAGTATTTTTTATCATGTCTTATCGTACTGGGGCATTTGTATGTAAAGCAAAACTATCTATTTTACTACCTAGAAGCTAGCTTATGGTATATATGTCATCTGTTTGGAAGACTTAATGCAGAACTTACTACAGTGTATTGTAAAGGTCAAGGAATTTTTGAAGATGCGCTCAAGATTGAATGTAAAGGTATATATGGAGGTATGACATTTGCACAGCTTTGGAAGTTTTATGGATGAATTTTGTCATCACAAAAATAAATATGTTTATTAAGATTGAGTAAACTGACTATCAGGATGTTTGTACGATGACAAAAGAAGACCTTGATGTAAGGGTTGTTATCGGTCAAGCCAATGTTAGTATTCTGTTGTGATGATACTTAGTCCACAAATGATCCCTTGAATATGTACAAAATGCTGCACCCTAAATGTAAAAGAGATAATTGCCCAAGTGTAGGCTTGAGACCTGGGTGGTGTTTCACAAAGCCTTTTTTCAGTGACAAATCTGCTGATAACCAATCAGAAGCAAGGATTTCAGAAGCTTATAACAACAACTGTCATTTGTCACTGATGACAAGTTTTGTGAAACACCCCCCTGGTGATGGTATCATAAAGTGACAATCCTAGTGAGCAGATGCACATCTGAAAGAACTCAATCTTCACATGTACAATACTATTAGTACCGGTAAATCATGATATGTATAACACTTTAAGGTTTACTGGTTAGTCATTCCAGAATACACAGTTAATTTATGTTGGTCAGAGGATTAGGATTTTATGCAGGAAAATTATGTACCGGTATGGTGTACATACAATGAAACTGCATTGTGTCAGGTTTTTAGGAAAAGTGGAGAGATAGTACTATACTTGATGCATACGTTTGTCCCATGTACCACTTTTTAAACATCAGATTGAGTTGGACATTTTCCTGTAAGAATACAGAGGTCATGGGTTCAAAGGAATTTGACCTTCATTGCTCCTCTCCATCCAGGTGATAAATGGGTATCCGGTAAGATGTCAATGTCACTGGTTAAGCATTTGTGCACATGTGAAATGGCAGCTGGCTAGTAATGATTCCCCTGGCCAGTGGAGCGGAGAGTGTGCAAGGTAAAGTGGAGTATCAAAATTGTTCTAAATGACGGGGGTAAATGATACATTGTAAGTGTTCATGTAAACAAAAGGTAATGATAGCTAGCGACATATGGACAGGTGATTCTGTTTATATACGGCTGGATCCTTGACAAGTTGGACTATGTCATAACGACTTCCACTGGGGGAATTAGTACTACTTTATTGACTGATTGATTGTTTCATTGATTAATTGATTGTTTGATTGCAGGAGGTACATTCACGGATGATTGACTATTCATGAAATGAGAATTAAAAAATCATCTGCTGTCTTAAAGAAGGCCACAAGTGCCAGGTAACGTTACTGACAGTCAAGGCCTTTTTGAAGGCAGACGTTGGTATCATGTGCTCAACGCAAGAAGGACATTAACTCTTATTATTTCACACAGGGTAAATACCCTTTGTCCTGTAAACAGACAGAATTATGGTTTACTTCAGAGTTAGACTTCATTGCTTATTCAAGAAATCCAATCATTGTTTTAAATCAGGAACAGAACTCAGAAATTCTTTTACAGCATATCAAGACATCTTTTAATTTGTTTATAACAGTTTTAATGTGATGCGTTATAATGACTATATTTGAAGCAAACTGATTGCCAAACAGATTTAATCATTATTAATCAGATCAACATTATTCTTGATAGTAGATGAAATTGTTGTATTTTAGTACAACATGAAGTATTAATCGAGTTTCCATTATAACATATTGAAACCTGTGTTGGTATGTTTGCAAGACTATACACTATATATGTGTTTTATCAAGACACGGCACATTGGCATGTTTAGAAAGTATGGCACCAGTTACTTGTATCCTACATTGCAACGTATTACTCTCAATCATGTTGCAATTTTGATATACATGTATTGTCACATTTCATATGTATTTTACAACATTTCAGTATTGAACAAGGAGTGGAAAGAGAAGAGAGACTTAGGAACATGTACCGTACATGTATACTATTCATATGTTTCCAGTTATAGGGGCACATCATTATTTCCCACCATTTTGCTATATATCTTTGGCGTATGGAATTGTGATAAAATGTTTTTGAGTAACTAGTATTGATTATCCATGCAAAATTTCATGAGCTGATCTGACAACATAGCTCAGTTGATATTTGGGTTGTGAGACAATTTATGTAAATTAATTTCTTGGTTCAGCAATTTATCAGGATAGCTTGGCTAAAACTGAGCTACTAAAAGTATCAAGTGATTAGTGCCCCTTGGGGGAAGGTACTGTATATATCCCATCATTGTATCTTGAATACCTGGTAAGAGATTTAACTTACATTGTTTTTATATTAAAAAGCATCCTTAAAGGCATCGTTTAACAATGTTAAATCTGAGATCAGATGCATGGCCCTACATGTTATCAGTGTCTTTGATATGGTGTAATATTGAAGCCCTAAAAATTCCTTTGAACCATTTTTTACTTCACCAGGAACGTTATTGTATCACTATCAGGATGAAAGAATTAACAGTATTCAATAAGTCCTATTCAGATCATTTTAAGTTATCTTTTATAACACATCTATTCAAAGAGACTCTTTAAGTGTCCAGGTTCAAAGAGCCTCTTTAAGTAACCAGGATGTTCCTTTGTTTCTCTCCTGGTCTCGGTGTTTCTTTGTGAGAACTATTTACAAAGGGACACTGAAGTGCTTCTTTTGTAGTATTTGTAGACATATTTAACCATTCCCTTCTCAGTACAAACCAAGTAGTAGCTTGATTGCTTTTAAAGTATAAATATCATATATCAAACGATGTACAGAAGAACCTTATTCTGACAAATTCCCTAGATTATGTTTTTAAACTGAAATCTTATTCTATGTTTTTAAGACGAGAAAAGAATACTTATACAATTAAATTCAACTGTTGTTTGTAAATGAGTCAATGAACCATTAACAAAACAAAAAAAAAGGGGGGGGGGGGGCTCATTCCACCAATTTGCCAGACTATATGGCACATTTGCTGGTTCTTGCAGTCAAAGGTTTCCAATGGGCACTTTGCTCATATTTTTTTTTTTTTTTTTTAAATTTGTTTTCTTCATTTCTTATAGTCACTGCATATTACCAGTAGGACTTGTAAAATGACAATTCTGCCTCCTAAGCTACATCTATCAAGGATTCCATTTTCTTTTCTGAACATATTTTTATGAATGTCTTACTTTGTCATGCTCTTTGTATTACACACAGAGGAAATAAATAATATTTGAATACAATGCAGCCAACTGTTAAAATGTGTTCATTTTGTTGCCTTCTGTAAATATTGATTATATAATTCTGTTCCTGTATCTATCCATTAAATTTTCTTTGTAAATGAACATGTATCACAGTAAAATTGCATATTCTACTCTTTCCTCCTTTCCTTTCATTATTGCTTTTTTTTCCATCCATTAAAAAGAACTACTATGTCAGGGCAAAAACAAAATTAAATGACCGTGACATATAACTTCCTTACTTCAGTCATGAAATCACTTTATTGGATGATCATTATCTCTCCCTTTAGGATATAGTCTTTCGAGGAACTTTTACCATTATAGCCATTCCCCAATACTGACGAACACATTTACAAGGGTCTGTTGTCAAAGTCGGCTTCCTCTCACTTTTTTTTCTCTTCTCTCTCATACTTTTCTACCTCCTTTTTATTCCTCTCTTCACATCACTTCTGTTCACAAATCTCTGTTTGCTTTTCATGATTTTCTGTCTACTTTTCATGATTCTCTGTCTACTTTTCACGATTCTCTGTCTACTTTTCATGATTCTCTGTCTACTATTTCTCTCGTCTTACATAAACCTCTTGTACAGTATATCAAATTACATATTTCAAATACAAGCAATACATAACCTCTTGTAACATGCATGTAACTTTTTAATACTTTCCTCAAACACTCCCGTTGTTTTTTAAAGGCAGAAATGCATGCAGCAGCAAGTGACAAAGTAAAATACCATCATAATACATAGTATTCAGATGTAACCTTGATGTGTACTGATCCCCCAAATGAAAATTTTATATTGTTCTATAAAAAAAAGGAAACGGGTTAATTCACACTGCATGGTCCAAGTACTTCATTACACACATACAGTGATTCAGAGTGAAGAAAATAGGAACTTGTGGAGATTATAAGGGTACATACCTTTAAAAAGTTGTAACTAGGCCTACACCAATACTGATGTTTTGTTTCTAATGCTGATATAATACGCCCACGCATCACAACTGCAAGAGTACAAGGTGAATTCCTGTATTAAAAGGCTTTAATAATTTTCAAAATTATTATTTTAAAAAAGAGATGACCCCCCCCCCCCATCTTTTTTAAATTGTTTGTAGAAGCCAAAGATAAAGGTTTTTTAATTGCTACAAAATAAGATTCATGTAAATTCATGTAAACGGCATACACCCCCTAGCTAAGACTAAAACATCAAGAATTAGTCAGCCAAGGAATGACGCATTAGAGCAAAGTTTTACTGTAGGGGAAGTATTACTGTATATGATCATATTCATTCATCTATTTCAAAATGTCTTTAATAAAAAACCATGATGGAGAAATTTAAAGTAAACATTCTCAACTCAAACCCATATAAATAAAATGTCATAAAATACTCATGTTAGTATGGCATGAAAGCTACAGAGTTAGAGAGCTTCATAAAGCAATACCTACCGGTATAATATAACATACCTTTACCCTGCATATAATACTGTAGTATACCAGTTAATGCAATAAACAAACCCCATAAGGTATTATCATCCATTAAAAGACACATGAAACATGCAACTGAAATAATGCTTAAATCATAAACCACACAAGCGCTAAACCTCACCAATGAACTTCTCTTTACATACGAGGGAGAAAAAAGGGGGGATTTAAGATTTAAGGTCTGAAATTTCCTTTTTCAGATGTGATTTTAGACCCTCCTTCGGGGTTAACCAGATTAGTAGAATACAGACCTATGGATTTAACATGCTATATATTCGCCCAGTTCTCCACCCAAAATTCTTTATGCTCTACAAGAATAGTATAACTGAAGGTATATCATAATAGTTGAGATTAAATATGAAAACAACTCCAAACTAATAAATAGGTAAAGCACAGCAAGTATAAAACTATAAGGTAAACAGGTATCAAATCATGCTCTATGAAAACTGAATAAATAAGGCATGGTAAAATAACTAAAAAACATATGATAGGGTATACACTCTACACAGTAGAGGACCTGGGACTGAGAGTAATATACTTTTTAAATAAAATGTCATCATAAGGGGCCTTTCTTTCCCTACCAGATACAACAAAATGATATGTTTTGGATTGCATATTTGAGAGCCATATTTCTTGTAGAGGGGATAGAAAATTTGAACTGAATTTTCTGAGTAAATTGTTAATTTTACTAACATTTTTTCCAATGGTGTGAGGAGATGCGATGGTTCAGTGGTAGAGCAGGAGTCTCATTATCGAGAGGGCTCAGGTTCAAAACCAAGTCCATGCTCTAGTGCCCTCTGGTAAACCACTAATCCTAATTACCAAGTCCCTTTGAGAGGACTTAAAGCCATCGGGTCCCTGGTTGCTTACACTAGCATACACTAGCTTTCTCAGTAGTCGGGTAAAAAAAAACCATCAAACAAAACGAATGGAACCTATACTTTTAAGTTTTAAGACCCTGTACCCTAGAAAATTCACGGTATATTAGCTTTCAAATGTGAGGGAGAGAAATTGGCCGAGATAAAAGGTTCCTTTTAACATTACTCTTGTGTATACTTTTGATTTTTACAATGTGGAGCCAATTTCTCCATGTATATCCATGTGGACAAATCAAGCAAATTAAATACATGTCCAACTTGCGAAAAAAGCAACTAATAATCAAAGCATGCACTTCTACACTACTAACCTCAAATCTAAACCCCACATGCATTCCTACGACCAATACGATCATATCTTTTTGAAGTACTGAATTTAAACTTGCTACGTTTTTTCCCCCGCATGTTTGCAAGTTGAGTGATCTGCTACTGCAAAACAGCAAGGGGAGTATTTTTTAAACAATAGTACCTCTGAAATTGATAGTATTCATTGTTTTTATTGAATTGACCCCTGGTATTCCTTTCTCAAGCAATCAGACTTTGCATGATCACCAAGCGTCTTGTGGACCGACAAGAAGAATTGTCTGTTTATGTGTTAGTAGCTTTTGCATCTCAAGAATCCACTTGAAGTTTATTTCACTTCTTGTTCTTTGAATGGGACTAAAATTGCTTTGCCTTTTATGTTCATGTGGAATTCAATAGTGTAAAGCATTAAACCAACACCAGTGTCAAATTTATATTTTTAATGCCATCTTTGTTTAACATGGTACTGTCTCATACTTTAATGTACGAGAAACCCATCACTATGCTACGATGAGAGGAATTGTTCCAGTAGCCGCTGGTAAAGCACTCTCCACCATGGACCTTGGTAGCAGCGTATGGATTCTGTCTTGCAGTACCTTGCGCTTGGCCATGCCATCGCACACAGAACACTGCTTCCTGGAAGCAAGAGTGGAGTCTGAGTTCATGTTTGAATTCCTGGGGTTCAGCATTCCTTGAGGTCTTGACAAGTGAGGGCAGTTCGGGTTCGGAAGATGTTCCGACGGGGGTGGAGCCGAGATGCGTTCGCCGTGAGTCTTGGAGAGGTTGATCGGGTGAGAGCGACTGTCCACTGGACTGTCCAGATCGCTCTTGTTCGAGAGTATCTCAGAGGAAGTGTCGTAGTAAGCAACAAGAAGAGCGCGGTAGAAAGTAATCAGAGCCTGGCCAACATCATCAACTTTAGTCCGTAACCATAAGTCATCATCGATCCGTCTGGTGCGACATTGCTGGCAGCTCAAAGGCTCAAGACGTGTGTTATCCGGGAGATGGCAAGGAGAGGTACCGCTGTCGGACATGCTTTGAGAGTCGTCGAAGTGACCTTGGACGTTGTTGCAGCAACATTGCCTGCAACTTGGACAAGGGGTCGTCTCGATGGAAGTTGATGCTTGGTCGGGTGTGGCGTTAGCAACATTGAGCGGTGGCAGCATAATCTCGCTCTGGTGAGAGGCCACCTGGGTCGCCTTGAGAGGGCGCAATCCATGAAACACGTGACTGTAGTTGTCCGAAGCCGGGGGCATCGCCGGGATTGCAGATTGGTGCTGCATGAGCAGAACCGACCAACACAGGATGGCACTGCACAAGGAGTACGCAGCCAGACACAAACCAATCATCTGTACAAAAGGAGAGATAGGATATACACATTATATAAGCATAAATTTACTATCAAATTGACTTTTTACAACATTTTTAAACAGTGAATTTCTAAGACTGTATCCCAGACAGAAAACAGAATTGTTACTGGAATAAATTAATTTTAGCTGTTTTTAGGAACTTTTTGAAAATAAAATTTGAACACAACATTCTCAGAGATGCCAACCCTATAGGATGGCTGTCAGTAACATTTACCATATTTGTCTGTAACAAATGGGGGTCTTCCCATAACGCAAGACACCGCAGCATAATTTTCGTGCAAAACGTACACAAACACCCAATCACTCTTACTGCATTTCGAACCTACCATTTTTAAGTCCAAAATAAAGATGTGCACAAAAACATTTTTTAAAATCTATTTCCAGTCAAAGGATCTCCTCCTTGGGTACTCGCTCTTTTGAGTGAATCCATGATAATATTCAGGAAGAAAACACCTCGTTCAAGCATCGAATAGCAAATTCGAATCCACAGTCAAATGGCAGAACTCGTATCCTACACACGCACACGTACACTCACCAGTACCACAGACACACCAGCCCAGGGCGCTAGGCCCGGCGTTCGTGAACAACAACACACTGTATACCGCACTTGCAATGCGCCCGCTGAATCACCTAAGTCTTCGCTAATACACTATGAATGGGTATTGCGGGCGCTGCGCGCGCGATCATCTACCCCCATGCTCCCCCCAAAAGGCACGACTGCATGTAGCATACGTAGCGGTCGTGTTGTTTCTGAATTAAACAAGATGGCGGCGGACGGACCATGTGCGCGAAAGTGCCTATCCAGTGTAGTCAAACTCAGTGAACTTATGAGTTCGTATATGCGTGCGACATGCAGCGCTGTGTACGGAGGCTATGTGTAAGGCGGCATTTTGTTTATCGTTTCCCCGTAACCTTTTGATTGTTTACTGTAACGCCGTAACAAGAGCATTAAAACCGTAACAAATACGGCGAAACCGTAACAGTTGGCATCTCTGCATTCTCATTATTGATAAGTGCATTCAATTAAAAACGTGTGGTATTGTTACAACTAACTTGCAAAACTAGCTAAACAGATCCTGTATATCTTCTTCTTCTTCATGACTACTGCTTTCCTCAATGTGACCACTCGTAGATATCTCTTTTGATCTAAACATACCTTCAAAGACTGGTCCAGCAGCTCAGAAATGGTAGTATACCAGTCTCTATGCTCCATCAGGACATTGAAATCCGAGTAGGAAAACCAGCCTCTCCGACGTCCTTCGTTCAAGGCGATCCTATTCAGAAAGACACGACAATCACAAAATGAATTCCATTTCAAGGTACACATACTTGCTTGGAAAGTAATCTCTTCATTTGTCACTCCTTGGCATCTTACATTTCAACTGCAAGTTCTTTGAGCGATTCATGTTGGTCTTGATAAACGATGGCCCATTGAGTGTCAACGAGCATAAGAATGCTGCTAGCAACTGCACAGAAACTCTGAAGCATGATGGCAATTATGTGCCTACATTAGTTTATCATCATCCCCACTCTGTTAAATGATATCATTTATGCCTGTCCTATTTGCACAAATCTAGAAAACGAGCCTGAAACTCATTTTCATATCCTTCCAGCAGTTTAGATCTTCAAATTAATATGTGGGTCATCTTCGCTCATTTTACTACTACCTCACTTTTCATCAGCAAAACTTGATGGAAAATCACTCATACACTGGTCTTGCATGCATTTTTGTCAGTTCCAAATTGTGTAAAAAAAACAATTTCTTGTAAATTACTGATCATAAAATTAGGAAAATTGTTCTCACAATTGTAAAAATAATTTGACATAAAAAAAAAGCTGCAATATTTTTTTTTTGTGTGGAAATTTTCAACAATTTCTTGACTTCTGATTCAAGCTCTAATTTGCTCCAATCATATCTCAAGGGTATATGAATAATAAGGAGCAACCAAGTATTGATAACCTCTTATGATACTTACCATGTTTCCATTTGTTGCAAGAACTCATAGAATTCATCTGGTTTGATGTACAGGTCCCATTCCTGCAAATATTCAAAGAAAACAAATGCTTACTTTATACAATTTTTTGTACATGACAACATATATTATTCAATTAAAAATGCATGGAAATCAAAAGTCATTTACCCTTGTTCTTGTCATATCCATTTCAACAACAGATTGCTATTTGATAAATGTTCATAAAATAATCGGCATATTTACATATTAATTCTAAGGTCAATAAAAATAAAGACCCATATGTCAGCTACAGATGAATCTTTAAGATTTGTGCTTTTTCTGAAAGTAACTTTGAAGGTAATTTATGTTAAAATAGGTTGCCATAAATATATTTGTAGGCATAAATGTATATGTTATTAGATTAATATAACATGATTTAAAAAAAAATCACCTACAGAGATTGCAAGAGGCGACCTTTTTACTTCAAACAAGTGAATGGTCATCATTTTTTAAAAGATGTATCATTAACACCTTTATACATTTTCCCCCTACACTCAATATTACTAGACATACAGCAAGAAAATAGAAAATATCTTCCAAAGAAAAATGACAATCATACTTACAATTGCTTCCAGAAAGTCTCGTTCCAGTTCATTAACCCTTTTGACATCAATCTTAGCTGTAAAATAATGAAAGAAAAATGATAAAGAAAAACACACACACTCAAAAAAATTGAAAACAAAATTATTTCCATACTGAAATGGACATACTACAACAGATATCTTAAAGCACAGACGAGAAAAATGACAAAGACATGTCTTCAAATTTAAAAATACAATATTATAATCTATATAACTTGCCATGTATTTGGTAATACATGAAATTTAATGAAGCCATCGATTACAATTAAGGTGCAAAATTGTCCATGATTCTTGTTAAAATTGGGCATGAAATGAAACTTTTCTTCCCTAAGTTTGCAGAAGGCCACATCTGATCAACAAGGTAATAGCTCCAGGCTACAGAATGTAAGCATACATTAACCTATCGTCATTGAGAACCAGGTGGTTGTAAATTGAGCAATTTCAGCTTTCCATCTGCATGTTATTTTATTGTAATAAACTGAATCAATTCAATTCAATTTTGGGATGAAGTCAATGGGAATACAGTAGTCAAGAGGTAATAACCTACCGCTGTCCGCCCATTCATCGCTGAATATCTCTTCGTCTTCACCTTCATCATAGAGAAACTTAGTGGCCAGCATCTGGGGGTAAGACAAACAAATATGACAGTAGCATGAAATAACAAAGGATGTTTACAAACCAGAAATGACAGATGATAAGCAAAGGAATTCTGTGAATCGCTAGTGATTTTGTAGATGTTTTTCATTGTTTAAAAGAATCATGTAAGAATAACATGCTACAAATTAAACTTCTTGGCATTCTAAATCTTATTTTGCGGGTGCAGATTTCAGATCAATTTTGGTTATTCTTAAAGACAGATTTCAAAGAACAAACATCGAAACTTGACACTTACAGGCATCCAGGACACTGGGCTCCTAAAATTTGATCCCAGACATGCCCCCCCCCCCCCCCATCACACAATTTTAACAAGGAGTCCCTTCACTCAGCTCCTTAAATTGTCTGTTTGTACCCAATGCGCAAACAAAACAATGTGTGGAGCCCTGCTAAACACTGTCAAATAATGAAATATAATAAAATGGATTCGATCATCATCTGTAACTGCTTGGTATTAAAGCAAACTTACCATGGAAACCAGGAAGAGTTCAGTGGAAGTCACTTTCTGGAGGTAGGAAGATTTTTGTCGTTTGAGGCGGCGAGCATACATCATACCCAGCATGGAAGACGAAGGGTTAATCTGTCCATTTCTACACAAAGAAAGAAGAAATGATAAATTCTCATTATATTTATAAATAAAGAAATAGTTCTTAATTTCTCTACAAAGGAAACTGAGAAACAAAGAAAACTCTTACATTTTTTGACAATTTGATGGGTGCACAGAAATAAGAAGAATGTACATTTGTATGTTATTATTTGCTTCTCTTTTTCTTCCTCACTGTACCTGTGACAAAGCAAACCATGATGAAAAAGAACCTACTATCCAAAATGATACATAGCTTTTGTTTGGCCAACTAAAACCTTCATGAAGATGAACTGAACTGAATTCTGTGTAAATACATGTGTTGGTACATGTATGTGAATGTCTCTTTGTCATGTATTAATGCACTATATGCACATGCACATTTTTGTACAGGTGTGATATAATGTGCTTTAATTAAGTAAATGTTTTGAGTCAGTCATGGACCCACCTATCATTTGATTTTCAAAAAATTAAATACAGAGTAAAAGAAAGTGAGCTAAAATGTGCCCCATTTTATGATCAAAATGACAATTTGTGCCAAAAAAAAACATGATAGAAGAATAAAATGTGTATTTTCCTCTTTAAAAATCAATGTCCATACACTATACATGTTTGTAGATGTACTTGTCCATACACTATAGATGTACTATCAGTTTACAATAGTGGATGTACCCTGAAGTCTCTTATGTGGATGAAGAGCAAGTGACATCGATATTACAGTGACTCGTTTCTTATCTCATTCACAATCAAGAACTCAAACACGATCCCATATCTTATTACAATACACAGAAGACAGGGCATTTCCTTTTCAGCATTGCTACATTATGTTGTGTATGTTTATGTATGATAAGCCTAACCCTTTTTCACACACACATGTTCGCTTACCGGTTAAACTTGGCGACATGGCGACGTGTGAACGTCCCCAAGTTCTTTTCAGCAGCATTCTGGAACAGATCCACGGCAACATCTGAAACGAAATGTGACGAGTAAGACAAGCATAAATTTTATAATCTAAAATATATCATTTATTTAATTATTATTAGTAGTGATATCTGATCTACCCCTCCCCTAATGTTGACTTGCAATCATATAGTTCACATGTAAAGCCCACAGCGCATAAGAAGTTTACATAAAATGAGTACACTAGTTATCAAACAACCCACAAAAGTGAGGAAGGCATGTACGTTTTTATTGCGGAAGCGTTCTTTGAAATAGAAAACCAAGAAGTCTATTTCAACATTTATAAGAAAGCATATCTAAAACATAATCTGTTAAAAGACCGCGCGCATTGAGAGTATATTTAAACAAAATTCCTTTAGGAATGTTTATAGACTGTTTTCCAGATTTACATCAACAAAAACACGAAACCCATCATTATGAAGTACAATGACCATATAATTGCTTTCAACATTAATAATACAAATTGCAAATCCAAGGCGCTTCCCATCCACAGGCATTATAATATTTTTGTCTTTCTCATTTTCCATATTTTGATTCCACAGTGCATGGATAGCTTCAGGCCAGGGATGTTTACTGTTTAGTTCGTGTTGAGGGAGTTTCGGGTGTTAAGGGGTTAATCAAACTCACCGGCTACAGGCAATGAGATCCCCTCGGTAGACTTTCCAAGGTACAAGGTGTTTCTGAACCTCTTCTCCAAGGCAGTATGCACTGGTGATTGCTGGAAAGAAAATAACCACAGGTGACATTCAAGCGGTGCATGTAAGTACATAACGAGAAGAATAATGACTATCCATTCCGGATTGGGTTGAACTAAAACAAAAGCTGCTTTCGTAAATACTTGCTCCCTATTGAATATACATCAATAATTCCTAATTTCCGACATGAGTTCTTTAAAAGCCAACACTTTTGAGAAACAAACAAACAAGACAAAATAAACCTTTGTTGAATCGAATCATAATAATTATTTTCCTCATTGTGGTATAGTTGTATAAATGTGCTCAGGTGCACCACAGGATTGAGTTGTCTTCTAAGGAATATTAAATTAATTAAATTATGTATATGTCTTCCTTTGTGGGAGTACCTTTATAACAAACAAATACATAAATGAATAATTAATAAACTAATACATGAGTGCATAAATAAATAAAAACATAAGAATTAAAGAAGAAAAAAACCAAGAAAGAAACAAGAAGATGGGACAGGTTTAATGTCACATAGCCTAATCTTAAACAACCTAAATAGTCTATATCCGACAGCTCAGCTCTGACTGTTTCTAAAATTGAGCCTCTTCACTGCAAAGTTGACGTTTGACTTAGCTTTCAAAACCCAGATTAAACCAGAGAGGATTGATAACATTTACAGAGTGCCCAGTCGAAAGTCAGATTATCCAAGAGGCTCAATTACGAAAGTGGCCGGACAAGCCGGATTATTACCAATCACACAATGTATGCAATTGAAGCAACAGACAGAAAAAAAATCCATCTGCTTGGAGGAGTATTCTATAAATATTTTTGTGTTTCTCTGGTCCGGATGAATGTTCATAAAAAGAAAGAACATGAAGAAAGAATCTTCTAATCTGAGTCTGACCATCTTTCACACCACAGATCATGAACGCTGCACAATTACTTTACAAATAAAAGAATTAATAAGGTGCGAAATACAAGGTTCCTCATCAAATACCCAGACGTTGCATGTTCTGACAGTGACAGGTTGTGTATCAGAAAAGTTGATTTAAAATGAAAACAGCAATTTGAAGAAGTGTAACTTTTAGTCTAGATCTACAATATTTCATAAATCTTTGAAGAGATTATGTTAAACAATATTATAAATCAGGAGTATTTCTGATGGTAGACTAAGTGTTATTTGATGTAAAGTTTTTGTTAAATCCAAAGGTAAAATCCACCTTATTCCATTTAGGCGTCCGGAAAAACAACCCCCCCCCCCCCCCCTTTAGGCCATGTAAAATTGATTACATGTTGATCGTCCGGATTTTTTGAAAAAGAGGAGGAGGGTGTACCATGTTATTTGATATTTGATATTTCAAAATGGCCGCTCAAAATGGCCGCTCGGTACATTTTCCCCGACAGTCGAGGCTATTTTTTTTCAAGATGGCCGCCGACAATTTTTTTTTTTTTTAATCAGAAATAGAGCCATTTTAGCAGTGTTTTTCATGTTTTTTTTCTTTCAAAAAAAAAAAAAAATCAAAAAAAAAAAATCAAAAAAAACAAAAACAAAAACAAAAACAAATAACAAAAAATAGGAGGCGGCCCCCAAAAAGGAAGCGGGCGGGGACGATCAACATGAAATCAATTTTACATGGCCTTAATCATATTTAATAATGTCATGCTTTGGACAAAGACGAAGCCAGAAACCAAGTCATGGCAAACAAAGGACTGAATAATTCATATCACAACATACATATATGACAAAGGACTTTGTGCACCTGAATGACATACATATCCATGCAGAGTGTACACAGCCTGTCGCAATAACTTTTATTTGTGAGATCATTTTGAGTCATCACTGCAATTGCGAACTCTCAACCTTTCACATCAATGCCGCCACAATGCTTAGTCAGTGCGACATCGTGGTACAGCATAACAACGGGAAAGAAAAAAAAACGCGCGACGAAAAGGGCGATCTGTCATGCAGACGGTAGTTTAATACAGATATTACAAAGTAAACAAGCAATACAAGCGATTATGGTGCATTTAATACGAACCTCGAAGTCGTCATAATTCTCGACATCTTCTTCCAAACGACGTAGACTCTCTAAAAACTCCATTTTAGACATGTTACGCCGTTAGATCATTTCCGCCCTGGCGTCCCTCCTGTGTTTTTTCTGTATAACAGACTGAATCGAAATTAAGCTGCTGCCCTCTACGAGAAAAAATGCTTCCCTAATATAGCTGAACGAACAAGGTGATTATGATCATAGATGACGGGTTATAATCCTCTTTCTTCATCTTCGAAGCTTCAACTTTATTAGTATCTCTTGTCTTTTACATACTATTCTCATTTCATTTGCTTTTATCACAGGGTGCTCACTATGTATGATAAAGGTGTTCAAGTTACACACGATTATTAAAAAAAATGCAGTTTTTGAAAAACAAGATATTTTTATCATGAAATTCAATTTCGCAACCTTTTGCTTTGTCTTGAAAAAAAGTACAGAATCAACCCTCGCCAATATTAACCCAAAAGATTAAAGTTTAATTAAAAGAAAACTGGAACAGTGATAAAGGAACAGCAATATAGGCGAGGGGGGGGGGGTGGTCTTGATTCTTCTCATCTGCCTACTCACTTCCGTCGCATCTGGTGCATAAGTTCAAGTTAAAAACACTATGCGAGGGAACGCAGCAATCGAGTGGGAAAATTCGATTCTTGAATGTTGTTTCAGACCATTTGATAGCCTATCAAACAATGTTGTATTATAAAATTGCTACATGCATTATTAGTTGTCTTGCAAGGGGCTCACTGCTGGTTCAAAATTAATTTTGCTCGTCTTGAAGGGCACGGGGGGGGGGGGATTCCCCTCTATCCTGAATTCTTCCGGCATCTATGAATAATATGGAACTATTCTGAAGTTGTTCGTGCGTGTGATGTAATGTTACATATTTTCAGTTCCCAAGTAATATTTTCTTCGACAACATCGACCCCCATTAAATGTTTGTTGGGCATTTTTAACCGGGAGATTTCGTTATTCGACTCTTTGAACTGGCAACAATAGGCCAAAAATTGCAGTATTGCAAAGTCGTAACAATTGTTGATTATCACAAAAGACTGCAATTAAAATCTTTTCCAGCGTTTGTCGATTTAAAATGATGAAAACTCAGTGGAGACTGTCTGTCGAATGAAGGACAAAGACTGTCATGTCAAACACGATGCTATTTGCCTTGCCTCAGGCCAGAGATGAATAGGCGCCATCTTTTGGTTTAAAAATAACGATGAAGTGATAAAAATGTATCCGCAACAACTGCTTTGGCGATCTGCAGTTGTGTATCTACATTAGGTGCTGGTTTAAAAGAGCATGTGTAAAGACTACGGGAGAACAAGTACATGTAATGATTACGCATTTCTATGTCACAATTTGTTTGGTCACGAAAGCTTACAATTTGATTGTTTGTTCGCCATTTCACAGATTACTCGCGAATTCACGAATTATCGCACTGTAGGCCTAAAAAAGTGAGATTTTGTACGCCTGCAAATATTCGTACGGCACTCACGAATATCAATGCCCCACTGTTCTACTTATAGCTAGTCGCGCCCTCTATATAGCAAACAATGCCTAATCGGTGACCATTGGTCCCCTATGCTCCTCTTCTTCTTAAGTTAATTGAGAGCTTATTTGATGAGATATCCCCCATGCGGGGAGGTATAATCCCTCCTGGCCAGACTAGTGCGGCGGGGCTTTAATTCAAACTATAATAATCATAGGTGTGAAAAATTTGTGTAATTATCAGCGACAGAAATCTTCATTATGACATTCTTTATGTTCTTCAGGAAGGGAAGAAGGCTGATGTTATCGTTGCATTTTTATTTAGGCTTTCTTTACTCTCTGTGTCTATGTTGGTGTGTGGGTGTGATTCTCTCTCTCGATCTGTCTATCTGTCAATTTATATATATATATATATATATATATATATATATATATATATATATCTCTCTCTCACTCTCACTCTCTCCGTCTCTCTCTCTTATTCTTCTTTTCTTTTATTTAATTCCGTGTCTTTCCTTTTCTTTGGGGGCATTCAATTGGATGGATAGGAAAATACCTCGAGCGCCCGCCCCGGCACTACCCAAGTGCCTCTACCCTTATTCCCAATTTCATGCGTCTCTCAAGCCACACTAGTTTTTAAACAATAATTCATACCATTGAAAGGTCGTTCGCAAGTTCAGTACAACTGTTTCCGGCTGTTAATAACAGACCAATGCCCCCAAATGGCGTCATTGCCAACGTACCATTTCAAACATTTTCAACTCCCCCCAATGGCGTCATTGCCAACGTACCATTTCAAACACTTTCCCCTCTATCCTTAACCGAAATCATCCTCTTCAATTTTCCTGAGTAGGTTTGACACTAGATTAGGTAAGAATAAACAGCTATTCCCCCTCTGGGAGAGAAACGTATGATACGCATTGGTCCAGTTCTCTGCTCTATCTCACGGCTTCTCATGTGCCACTAAAGCAGACAGAGCAGCTTAGACTATGGCCAGCCAGCCGGATGATATCAACTCGGAATACGAAAAAAATAAAAACCCACTGGGAAATATCCTAAATTGATTGGCGAGTAAGATACTGTGACATTAAAATCTGCTCACCTCATGACATTGCTGATGATTATATCTCCATGGCAACGAGGTAGTTTACACGCATCTTCATTCTTCTGGACCGCGCTGACGCAAAGGGTTAATCTAAGGCGTATATGGAAGCCAGATTTGTTTAAACGTCATCACTCGTCTCTAAACCGCATCACTACGTCGCCACTTCTGGCACAAAGACCTGGAACATTTTAAATATTTCATTATCTTCAAACAAGCTTAAAGTTCTGTAAGCCTGCCTTTTGCACTCATTTTTCTCTCTGTCTTTCCATGCATTCTTTCGTGGGCTTCCCTTTTCTTTAGACATTGACGCGACCTAATTCATGACTTCATTTAATTTAAAAGCAAAAAGGCAATTGTCCTTTTAAAAAACGTTGGTTGTCTTGGGTTCAGCTTGGTTATGACACATCCCCTGGGTAGCATGGAGTGTAAGAAAGGGGAAGAGGCTAGAGGGTATTGTCAGTTTAACACTTAAATCTTGTACTTGAAAACATTAAAAGAAATCAAACCAATATTTGACTGTCGATATTATTTTTTGGTATCACAATAGCTTAAATCAAGGACAAGGAGTACAACAGCGCCTTTGAAACATTGGAATGATTCTTCAATCATTTTTAGATTCTAAGGTTATTTTTCTTTGCTTTTTCAGCCTTGTATCTTTGATACATATTTAATTATTCTTTTTCCTTTTATATTACATCCTTTATTTCCTCGTTCTTTCGTTTGAGGCACCGTTGCTCTTTCTTGTTTTTGTTTTTGTTTTTTTTATCTTACCAGCCTTCTATTTTAAATAGTATTGTATTTTTACTTCATTGTCACCATAAGGGGATTAACATGTATTGAAAAATTAGATTGTTTGTCACTATTTATGTGTTTTTAATCACTAACTAACTAGGAGAACCTTATTTTATCACGTCCTTCTTTCCCCCGTTCATTCATGTGAGGCACCGGTGCCCTCCCTTGATTGTCTTTTATTGTTCTTGTCATCTATTTTAAATAGTATTGTATTTTTACTTCATTGTCATCATAAGGGGATTAACATGTATTGAAAAATTAGATTGTTTGTCACTATTTATGTGTTTTTAATCACTAACTAACTAGGAGAACCTTATTTTATCACGTCCTTCTTTCCCCCGTTCTTTCATGTGAGGCACCGGTGCCCCCCCTTGATTGTCTTTTATTGTTCTTGTCATCTATTTTAAATAGTATTGTATTTTTACTTCATTGTCATCATAAGGGGATTAACATGTTTTGAAAAATTAGATTGTTTGTCACTATTTATGTGATTTTAACCACTAACTAACCAGGAGAACCTTATTATATCACGTCCTTTATTTCCCCGTTCTTTCATGTGAGGCACCGGTGCCCTCCCTTGATTGTCTTTTATTGTTCTTGTCATCTATTTTAAATAGTATTGTATTTTTACTTCATTGTCATCATAAGGGGATTAACATGTTTTGAAAAATTAGATTGTTTGTCACTATTTATGTGATTTTAACCACTAACTAACCAGGAGAACCTTATTATATCACGTCCTTTATTTCCCCGTTCTTTCATGTGAGGCACCGGTGCCCTCCCTTGATTGTCTTTTATTGTTCTTGTCCTCTATTTCAAATAGTATTGTATTTTATTTTACTTCATTGTCATCATAAGGGGATTAATGTTTTAAAAAATGAGAGTGCTTGTCACTATATGTCTGTTTTTAAATTTAACCAATAACTAACAAGGAAAACCTTATTTTTTAAACAGAAACTAGTGGTTATCCTCTGTCACTAGTTGGTAGTATATTTTACCTCCTTTGTCTGTATACGTTTTTAAAACTCAGACTGGATATATCAAATAAACAAATACATGTAAATAAACATTTTTTTTTGTCCTATGGAATCTACTGTCCTGCATGAGATCCTGTAACCAATGTGATTTATTTTTAGATTCAAGTACGTTAATCGAATTAAAAGAACCCTTATGTTTTCAGATAATGACGATAAATACGATAAATGAAAATATACACTGTTGCTCATAACGGTGGAATATTTTTTTTTATCCCAATTTATGGAATTATTTTAAAAATAATTTAAAAATACTAGATTTAGATAATAGTATACAGTCTCAGATTTTATTGAATAATAATTTGCCAATATGTGTTTTGCGTGACTGCTAAAGCATGTATATTATGCTACTATGTTTATCAACTACATAAAAAAATTCTCTGGACGGCCATGCATTATGGCTCAAGGCATGGGCACACAGAAGATTTTTTTATGTTGGGGACCGGGGTAGAATGCAATAAATTATTGAAAATTTATTGCATTTTCTGTTTTTTTTTCTTCAATTTATGGAAACTGCCCCCTACCATACACTCTTATTTCCACGGAGTCAAATTTCACTCTGAATGGCGTCAGCTGGGAGTCAATTACTCTATTCCTAGTTAAAGTGACACGGAAAAGGAGTCATCTTGACTCTGAATTGAGTCAATTCTCAGCTGATGCCACACAATCCGAGTCAAATTGATTCGGAATCCGTGTCACT